GGCACMTTAGAATTAAAACTTCATTTAAATTATATAATGAGTATTTAAATCCAAGAATCMAATCAATAATGTAATAATAAATTCATTAATGAATCAGCTTCAGGTGGTTTGACTGCAATTACCTTCGATCAGAAACCACAAGTTTGTATAGTTCTTCAAATGCTTCGTCTTCTCTCACAAAAACGATCTGAGCGCGCCAGTACCGTCTCTAATGATATTAGCAAAATATAATATCTGATGTACGATTGCTTGTAAGGATGCTTTTATACAAAAATTMAAAATGTACCTTAAGAGCCAGATAAATTTGATGCTGATGTTCGCTTCCGAGAAATGTTGTTGGTACTAGTCACCCTCGCTCTCCTAACACAGGGTGCCCACGTACGCAAATGTCCAGTAGTACTTACTAATACTCAGAATTTGTAGGTCGATTCTTGAAAGTTTCTTTTATTTATTTTTTGCGAGTACAAAGAGAGTCTGATAGAATTTAGGAATTAGATAATGCTAAAAATGTCCTGAATTATGCSAATTCTAGTTCTTTTCATTACACAATATAGCACCATTTGGTTAATACTATTTCAAACTTTTTGTGTTGGAATAAAAGGGAAATGTAATATGTGATAGACGACAAAATATTAAATCATACCAAGCATTACAGAGAACCCAGGCAGTAAAATGCCCACAAAATACGCACAAGATTCAGGTACATGGAACTGTCTGATAGACATTTAAACTTATTATATAGCTGTTTCAAAAAAGGTTGTCGGATAAAATGGCGAATGTCARTGGTCKAACGGCGATTGTACGACCGAAAGTAGCCATAGGTTTTGCTAGTTGAAAGGCAATAACAACTGATTTGTACTCTAAGATGGTCTGTGGTAGACATTGGCTCCATTAAGTCTCCATTTCAATGTAAGCTGAATCCAATAAGTGAAATTTTGTTTATCAAAACAGTGTAACCACAGTCCCGGTTTCGGTCGTGCAATCTCCCTTCGACAATCGCCGTTCGCCGTTCTCCCCGACAACGTTTTTTGAAATAGCTATATACATAAAGGAAGATCAACGAAGACTTACTTCCGCAAATATATACTTTCGTTTTCCTTCGAATTTAAACAAGACGCTCTTAGATCGCTTCCTCGCGCCCTGCTTACGAAGATTAATGTGAGCTGTAATATAAATATGAACGATCGACTAGTCAAGTAGTCCACCATACGCCGTTCAGCAAAAAAAGTGTCACAATTTGGCCAAATTCAAATTGTGAAATTAATTTCTAAATCCACCAATTTGAAAAAATGGGGTATACACCTACTTGCTGAAACGTTGTCATAGAAAATAGAACATTTGAATTTAGTAAAAAGGAATAAATGAAAAGAAGACAAAAGAAAGCGTTCAGACTCAGTGATCTTCTTTTGTCTTTTTAATTTAATCCTTTTTACTAAATACAAATGTCCTATTTTTTATGACAACGTTTTCGCAAGTAGGTGTAATGTAGAAAATACTTAGTGCAAAAAAGATTTTGGAAGCTGAGTGCTATTGATAAGTCTAACTGAAGTTTGATCCATCCAATGTAGAAAGCGAAAAGGAAATTATCACTTTGAAGAAATAGTAATGGGGCAAGCTGAAATTTCAAGCACAGGTAGCTAATTACAGATTATATACTTTTAACCCRCAGATTTCAAACTCACCGCCGGTTCTTTATAGCCTTGCGCAATTCCGAGTAAGCATGACTGTACCGATGTCGTTCTGTTTTATGTCCAGGAGTCTGGAATGCTCTCGGCAGTAATGATTCTCAGATGATTTGAAACACGCACATGATATAGTCACAATCTGCGCTGCAAGAGTCGAATTTATTTTGATTTTCATCACTAATACAAAGATGTTTAAGAATGAAACGAATAACATCCATCCTAACTATTTCAGTCCCTCTCTAGCAGTTGTCCAGAAGTGGCCTTTGTTCATCCATGATCAGCTTTCCTATTTTCTTAATTGTTTCACGGAATTTATTRGTCAACTTTCCATTGCACTGATCCCCCTTTGCTTCAAAGCAGGTAAAAATGTATTCATCKGCTTCYTTTGCCAGACATGCGCCTTGGTTTGCTTTGAAGTGATTTATGAAGTTTCCCGCGATGTAATTTGCACACTCTCGGCTTGCCTTGATGTCACAGGCTTCAGCCACATCTCCATCTTGAGGATTGATAAAGCATGAATTATTTATCTAATCTTCAAAAGAAAAATCAACCAAGAAGGCGAGGAGAGACGAGGAAGAGGAGGAGGAAGTGAACAAAAAAAATGATGATGAAGAATTACAAGAGCAAGAGCAAGAGCAAGAGCAAGAGCAAGTAAACATACTATGACGTCATGATGAAATAGGGAAATTATTACAAAGAAAGAACAACGATCAACAACGGTATCAATCAGACATCTGCATTAAATATATTTACCAAGTTTCTTCAAGTTGAAAAGGCTGGCAACAGCTGATGGTATGTTTGCTGAAACAGTAATAGTAAAAAGGATTATCGGGGCTGGAAACGTTTTTCTGTATGGAAACATTCTGTTAGCAACAAAAGTAAATTCTTGAGTAATTAGCCAATATGAAGGTAAAACCATTTCAATCAGAAAGTTTTGAAATTAAATTTTGTGAATAAGTGGAGATGGAAGTAAGACTCAGTTCAGTTTCATTAAAAATTGCAATCCAGTAATTAATAATTGTGTAAATYTTTGGTTTCGCGGTAAATAAACTACATTGTTTGAATATAATTCTCACCTTTTGCCAAAGCTTCCAGATTTGCAATAAGGGCTGAAAAATCCATATTTGGGCAGAGAGCTGTTTTTTTGTTGACAAGCAAGTGGTCGGCAATGCCTTGACGTAAAAGACCGATGATAGTGCCTGAGCACGATCTTGAGTCCTCACTCAGGCATTTTCCATAACTCTTTTAAACAAATTGACAAGTTAGTTAAGGTGTTTCGATCGCAATAAATAGCGTTTCGCGGGTATTTTTAAACTCCAACTACGCCGCAAATTTCGATTCAATTGCACTCATATTTTCACAGAAGTAACAGTGAATATCGATAATTCTTGTTGATAAATTGATTTGCCAAAAAGCTATTTATTACGATCGAAACGCCTTAAGAATTGTAAAGGTAAAAGGAATAGGTGTAGAGCAAATTTAAGATATGCTGTGCAACAGCATGGATTGCTTGGGTAATGGGTCACACCGTCTCTGAGCCTCGCCTACTAGTCCTGGTAGAAATACCAAATAAAAATGATATTCCAGGGGAACATCACCGTCACGATACGAAAAAAAAATTGAACTACAATACGTACCGCGAATTGTTCAAAGCCAGTTCAGCGTTAATCCAGGATTAGTCAATACACCTTCTCAGTTGCTCTTAGGCCTCGACAGCGTGTTAAATATTCTTTTTGAATTAGTAGGAATGTGAGCAAAACAAACATTGATGTGAAAAGTCTCATTTGTCAAATTCAAAAGAATAATTAACTTGCAATCGAGGCCTAAGTACAACTGAAAAGGTSTATTGACTTTTAATGTTCTACCCAGCAAGATTAGCGCTAATCGAACTTTGAACAACCCGGCTCTGGCATACAAAATCCGCCCTATAGTACCATTATATTCCAGGAATATAGAGWTCTTTCTTTGTATTAAATTTTGAATAATTTACTAAAAATATACGTTTGATATCTCCATAGGCTGAGATCGCTAACAGAGCATCAAATGTACTAGTTCTCAGCGCCATAGTTCGCAGTAGCTCATAGGTGCGATGCCGTTTGGTTGTTCATGGTGATTCCAAACAATCCTTACTGCTGCTTTGTGCTGTGTTCGTGTGTAGTTATTTTGAATATTAAGTCATTTAGCAGAATATTATATAGATTTAAAGTTGGTAGGGTTTGTCTAAGGCAGTGTCGCGTTCTTCCCGTAGTTTGAATGGGATTCGCTGCACCCTTTCTTTAAGTTTAATTCGACTTTCCACTGGAAAAAATCGCGCGCTTTAAAGGTTGTAAATTTGAAGTAAATAGGATGTAAGTGTCCAAAATTTTGTAAATTTGATGTAAATGATTTCCATTAAATTTACAGAATTTTGGACACTTACATCATATTTACATCAAATTTACAACCTTTAAAGCGCGCGATTTTTTCCAGTGTTCGTTGCTATTCAAGAAGCTGAATTTGTGTTTTGGTAAACAAAACACTTTGTCAAGCAGTATTATCTCTGACTTTTTTTATTTATCTTCTTCTATTAATTGAAATAATGGATATTCTGACAATTTTTCAACAACAACAGCAACAACAACAACAAAAATTAAAGAAAGATCGAAAGAATTGCCTGACGTTTAGACAYTTAATAMAACACTGGTTTTCTCAACAACATATATTTTATTGAAAGTAACACCTATTTGTTAAAAAAAATTMTTATAAAAAGTCATTTTGGCCATAAAAAAGGCTTTCGATACAAAAATCGAGACTAAAACAAAATTAAAGTCTTTAGTTCAMTTCATAAAATTGGTGATCATTCTGATATATTACTTTGAAAAYATCAAGGGAGAAAACSTGATAAGAGCGACAACAGCAATTGATGAGCAATTGAAACTCCGARGTGGAGGTTCTTAACGGAAACAGTTTCAAAACATTATAAGGAAGGATGACTTAGATYAACTCCTCAGAACTTGGTAAATTTCCTATATTTCTTCAGCAGTATACAGCTATTTCAAAAAACGTTGTCGGGGACAACGGCGGACGGCGATTGTCGAAGGGAGATTGCACGGCCGAAAGGGACTATGGTTACACTGTTTTGATAAACAAAATTTCACTTATTGAATTCACCTTGCATAGAAATGGAAACTAAATGGAGCCAATGTTTAAAAAGAACATCTTACAGTACAAATCAGTTGTTATTGCCTTTCAACTAGCAAAACCCATGGCTACTTTCGGTCGTGCAATCGCCGTTCGACCATTGCCATTCGCCATTTTATCCGACAACCTTTTTTGAAATAGCTATATATATTCTAYCATTTGTTTTATTTCGTTACAAGGTTATGGTTCCTGAAAAATTACTATACCGAAGCTTGTCCCATTCGAAAGAACACGTCTCTAGTCCTCATTTCATTATAAGCGACAAAAGAAACAAACCTGAAAGGCCTTGCAATACTCTTCACTGATGTCAGCATTCGGATCAGCATTTTTCCAGGTACTGACGAATACATGCCCGCATTGTGGTAGATAGTTTTTTTCGCATTCAGTRAAAGTACATTCTGAATAAGAAATGTATAGGAAAGCCAACGCGAAAATATAAGACACTTTGTCGAAAACCATCTTCGCGAGTTCTTTGGAAGCGAAAGGTAAAATGGTGCACTGTTGAAGATTGTTGAGATTTATGATGTGAGGATATCAAAAACCTTGACGTTATATGAATTCTTTAAATAAATGTGTGAAAGATAAGAATGTAATTCATTAGATTTTGAAAGAACTTCCATAAAAAAATAATATTTATCTTGTCACAATTAGCACTGTTTATACAGTTGTTTTAATATCCGCCATAAACATACTCCTGAAATTTATCGAGGTCTAAAAATCAGCAAAATTTTAGGTTTAGAGTCTGCACTTTTTGTATTTTTTTTAAATACCTCGGAAMTCCAGTTACTTGCTTTTTCTTAGAAAAAAAAAAAAGATTTTGGTGCAGATTCCTGGAATTATTTCCGAGCAGAAGCTGTTGTCATGGTTATTTCTATTTACTTCATTTTCTTGAAAGGYGGAAAAAACATTCTCTTCACCAAATGAAGATATTTCGGAATAAGGACTTAATAGYAATCGGCACTTTCAAAAATGGTATTACCCCACAGGACCAAGTAAAGTGTTTRTTTTTCATAACATCTTGATACCGTTTGAGTTTTAAAATTTATTGAATTTATTCTTTTCAAATTTATCTGATTTTTTAATSTGAATTTATATTGTTTTTAAATGTTTTTTTTTAGGAGCGACTTCTATTACCTTAAGAGAACATAATTTAGCGCATGGCAATCGGTAACCACTTTCATACGTGGCAAAACCAACATTATACTGTAAGTTTATTTATGAAGTATTATTATTTTTGTATTTTTTTCTTGATTTGATTCACAATTTGAGTTTTGATCTGATATTGATCTGATCCTTTTTAAAAGACCGACTCGACTCCTATAACCTTTGCTATATTAACTGTAATATGAATGCAATATAGAAGACCTTCACACATATTAGACTTCACACGAACCACAAAGTGTTTATCTTCATCAACATCTCATCGATATTAGGGACGGTCCATTTAACACACCAGCAAGAAAAAAAAATTATCCTACCAAAAAGCCACGAAGTAAAAAAAATCTTGATCACAACCCAACCCCCCCCCCCCCCCCCCCCCCTCCTCAAAAGTTAAATGGACCGTCCCTTACATACAGTTTGCATGAGTTTTGATCTGAAATTGAATCTTGCAACCATGCAACCCTAACCTTGTTATCTTAGATTTCAAAAGTGTATTGGCTCCTAAAAAAAGTTAAGAAAAGAAAAAAACAGAAAACAAATAAAATCACGCAAAAATATTTACATACTTCAAATTGAGTTCCCTGACATTCTTTAAGATTACTGGATAAATAGCCGTTGGGTCAAGGTCAAACAGCGAGCCTACATGTAGACCCAGTTTAAACCAAAGTCAAGGAGGAGCCGACGGAATCTGTTCTAGTCAATAACTGTTCTTGTTAGATTTTGTTCTGGGAAATTGATTTTTAGCTAAATTGTTGACAATCTCTCAAGCAAATGTGGCGCCCTTCCTTCTTTAAAATAATTTTGTCCCTGGGAATCGTTTTTAAGGTCAAAAAAGGCTTATACAACGTTTTTATGGTCAAAAACGGCTTATATTTGCTTTTAGCCATAGAAAATTTATATTTTCCTGTCAAAAATTCCTTGCCTGGATAATTTTTTTCCTGAATTTCTCGGGCTGACAACCACTTGTGACTTACAGCTGGCTGATAAATAAGAACAGATATATTTCTCCCAGGAACCCGCGTCGGCTCCTCGTATTATGATCTCTTTGTCAGGGGTTGTGCTTTGACGTCGTGTTGGCCAACATACGCTGTAGTGTTAGATTTTCCTCTCCAAATGTTTTTCCAAGAAGCTGACCGGTAGCTTTGTAAAATTCATTCGCTTTTTATGATGATAAGCTGCTAACTTTTCACAGCTAGAGTGCTTTTTGTTAACATGCGAAAAACTTTTGGAATGCTAGTTTTTATTATTATTATCTGCTGTGCTGGTTTTTCTATATATTTTACGTAAATTACATATTCGTACACTTAGATT